GTTTATCTGTATGCTTTCTTGATGGTTTAGGGGTGATAATCTCCAAGTAAACTAATCTTTAAAGGCACACGCTTTTAGTCTGCTCAGTTTCTTATCACAAAACAAACACCTGTTTTGTGAAAACTTTCCTCAGGAGGGTGATTCACAGGTGAGCAGAAAACTGTGACTGCCATGTTGTAAGCACCTCTATGTGACTGGCATAGTCCTCTTAATATTTTACTTTTTTTGGGAAGTTTGTCAGCATAGTTCTCTCATGTTGAAAGTGTGGCTTGGAGTGGCCTGTCTGGTATGGTCAGTACTGGGCAGTCAGCAGCTGAATGGACATGGAAATAGAGGTAAGAAATCCATGCGTAACATGAAAAGCTGACTCCCAGAGTCCAAATTTCATAATGAAAATCTGACTTCCCCATGAAATTTTGACTCCCCCCACAAAACTGCATAAATCTTATTTTATTTGATTATATGACTTTTATCTTGTGGTATGCATAATGGATGATACATTGGCACTTTTTGTTAGTTTGCATGTGAAAATGTTCATCAGAAATTAAGATAATTAAAATTGTATATTTTACCACCCAATGACTCCCCTTTGAAAAGGCTAGAATGGAAATCTGACTGGGGAGTTACCTTTTAGGGGGGTCAGATTGTTATGGTACACCTGGAGTATGTTCAACATGGTCAGGCATCACCTCCCTGGCAGTACCATACAGTGGCTGAAGACCTTGAAACTTTCTGTCCTCACCCAATCAGGCATCACCTCCCTGGCAGTACCATACAGTGGCTGAAGACCTTGAAACTTTCTGTCCTCACCCAATCAGGCATCACCTCCCTGGCAGTACCATACAGTGGCTGAAGACCTTGAAACTTTCTGTCCTCACCCAATCTTTTCAGCTCATTAAAACCTACACATATAAAATTTATAATATTCATTCACCTATCAGATATTAGCAACTGCACACAAGTACCTTTGGTTTTGGAGCCAGTGTAGAATTTTATTTCTCTGTTATGATATGAATTCTTGGTGGATTTCCAACATAGAGTGCAGTGTGAGGATTTTTTTAGTATTATGCAGTACCTGCTTTTTATCATAGACTGACAGGCTGATGGTAGAAAGGGAAAAAATGATGATTCAACAGTTCAAGCAGTACGCTATATATTCTGATATGGGCTCACAATGTTTATCATGCATTATGAGTTCAACTTGCCACCCAGAGTTGTGGCTAAGGAAAGTTAAGTACGGAAATATCAGCGCATGTTAAAAGCACTTTGATTGGAGGAAGTTATAAGAATATATTACTGCCGTGAATCGATAATTACCTCCACTGCTGTTCTCAGCGATATTAGTTTGTCTATATGTAAGCATAAAGGATATCTCCAAAATTCTTCACCAATTTTGATTATCTTTTTTTTTATTGGATAGAAAATTGTGCAGAATAAGAAAAAGAAATCACCATTTCAACAAAATCTTGGTTGCCTAGTTTTTAAAAGAATTTTATTTCTCTTTTTGGCAGAGTTATGTACTAGCACTGACTCTGAGAGTTTTCCGTGATTGGAGTTATTTCCCCAGTATTAAATTTTTTGAAGTCAATGTATAAGAAGCATCTCTGGTCCATCATAACTAGATTTTGGAAAAATAAAAGTAAAAAGTTTTGATTGAACAATATTTTATGGTATGTGAGTTTTAACTCCAAGGTTTGCAATTGTTACAATAACTTGCACTGGGTGTTAGAATAGTCTGAGAACAAAACTCCAGTGGATGAAGTCATCCACTATGCAGTTCAATCATTTCATTATGGTTAGATGTTGTTACTGTCATCTTTTCAAGAGATACAAGGACACAGTAGAAGTAAACCTGTGGCATGTTCCATAGTAACTGATTGGTCTTGTAACCAGCTGTGAAATATGGGCGACATTTCCCCTCCCTTAATTAAATACACCACCTTTCTGCTGCAGCTTGGCAACAACATGGAGTTAATTTTCAATTATCAAGGAATAGAAATGGATGACTTAATTATCAGCTTCTTGGTGCTGGCAAGGTCTGATCTCTTTTCTAAAAAAATTAAAAATGAGCATGTCCTTTCGTGGAAAAACAAGGTCATGCTGTAGACTGTTTCACCTGATTTATATGTCACCAAAATTTTACTTTGTTGACTTTGGGGTACAAGTGGATTTTTTAGAATCAAAATGATAATATATATATTTAGTAAAAAAACAAAAAGAAAAATAAGATAAAAAAGAGTGGTTGGGGGGGGGGGGGGAATAAAAAAAAAACCCTCACAGGACAATTAAACAGCACATTTATAGCAGAATCTCCTGAAAGTCAGATGTTTTCATGCCTCATTTACTGTGGTAAGAAATAACTTATTGATGTTGGCATCGTATATATGGCAGCATTTAATGATATTAAGGAATGACATTTACACCTATGCAGTCATAAAAACAGAGTTTAAGCTATAAATAATTTTTGAATTCAACTATTTTATTTTTTCTGTGGTTTAAGTGGTTTTTGCTATTTGGATTTTATTCTCCAGTCTTTCTTGTTGTCCTTCTATAATTCTAAGATTCTACTGAGCATCTAGGGGTGATATCTGGAGGTCTTGGTTATCTAACCACTTCTCATTAAGGGTCTTGTCCATGATCTCTGTTTCAAGTGTGTAGCTATATTTATCCAACAACTCTATCTGTTGAACTCTTCAGCTGATGACAGCTCCTTGGAATATTGGAGTCCTTTGTTCTACACATTATAATAATGAGTTTACATACACAATATTGACATAAAACTTCCATCCAGTCATTTAGATATTGGCCTTTTTGAATGACTGTAAACTGTTAAGAAATAAGAATCACATATAAGATTACACAGAATAGATCATATTGGTGCAGCCTGTTGTTTTTGGCTCTCACTGTGGTTAAAATACCTGTAGTGGCTATTGTCACCATTGAACATAAACATTTTGCTTTACACAATACTGATGAGACTTTCCGACTTTTGTCACAATTTTGACTTTTTCAGGGTCATTTGGGTCATTCTTGTGAATTGTGTACCCTGGACCTCAAGCCAATTTTCCTATTTTTTCAGTGAGGGCTGGTCTCATCCCTGACACAACCTATTCATTTCAGTAAAATACAGCACTACACAGGTTTCATTTGCTACTTAGAGCAAGTGTGCAAAAGGAGTGAAGCAGAGAACATCTTAGCTAGTATCAAGGGTGACTACACATTTACTGCAGAAAAATTCTCAGTAAATTTTACTTAGACTGAATTTGACATTTGTTTTTAGCAAAAGAATTAAGCCCCCTATAGTTACCCCTATGTTACCCTGGTGTAGTCATGAAGATTGATTTGCTAGGGAAATCTATAATCCTAAACAGATGAGTGAATAATCGAATACTCTTCTCACCCTAGCAACTGCTGATAAGAGCTCGACTGGAGGAATCCAATCTCTTGTAAACAGTGAAATTAGTCAGATATATTCTAGCCTTTACGTCAAAACTGATAATGTTTGTCCGCACGAACAAGTGCAGTAATCAGACATAAAAAAATATGACAAATGTTTTGTAAATTTGCCTTCTATATTATATTGGTAGAGAAAAGAAATAAGTTTGCATGCAAATGTGTGTGTTTGTTCACTCTTAGAACAATTCTTATGAAAATAGTTGAGTTTCCAGGAATATACATTTGGTTACAATGAACAGTGTTATTCCTATGTGATTGCAGTCCTTTGAGACTGATAATTATCTGAAAGTTTTCAGTCTTTGGAGTACTGAGTGTTTGGAAAATAAGATTACATATCATCTTATGGCTACCTCCCAGAGTTAGGCTAAAACCCATGATTTTGATAAGGTAAACAATGTTGTTTTATGTGCGTTTTGTCTGTTTTCAGTGATATACAGCTGAAAAAGAAGAAATGAACACCATTCTTGGTAGTTTTATAAGCATGAAATCATAAGTAGTGATAATAAAGAGAGACATTAGCTGGTAAACCTGGGGGATTCCTTTGAGATATCAACATATCGTGTCTGACCCTTTGAGAAACGATTCCTGATAAAATAGAAATATAACCCAATATAAATACTAACTGATCTTTTTATGATGGAAAATACAGAAACCACATTGTGTGAGGTGGTATGAATGTGAAGATGTTCTCTGGTGTATATTGACTGCTTGGGTGGGTTGTATGTGATAGATACAATACGAGTCTCCGAGCTGTACGTGAAATATTACGAGTGTATTGGCGAGCCGCAGGCGAGACAATACACGAGTAATTTTCACGTACAGCTCGGAGACGAGTGTTGTATCTGGCTTAAACCACGGCCTCTGATTGGCTACTACACTAGTAATGCAACAGACCGTGGAACGCACTCGTACATGACGTGCTTGTGTGTCGAATACAGCACGGCCGAGTCTTTTGTTCTACGCGCTAGCCGTGGTTTAAGTATATATATATTAACTCCCTCATTGTCACAGAATTTCATAGATGAAGCAGTGTCTAGTTATTACTCAGTGGTTAGCTCTGGGTGTATATGCTGTGTAGGAACTGCCCACACACTTAGATTTAGGCACTTAAACCAAGTTGGAGATCATTAATGTGGGTTTTTGTATATAATTTACAGGCAAGCACACATTTATGAAGCCATTTCAAAGTTAATGACCCTTTTAAGCTGTAAAATATGCCAGTTTTTCCTCATTGTTTATTTAATGTTTTATTTTTACCACTGATTAAATTTAATTATTATTTTTTTGCTCCATGTTTTCTGGTGAACATACAGTTACACAACATGATAAGTCTACAATTCAAGTCCAATTTATTTTCATATTTGAGGTTGATTTTGAAAGAGATATTTTACGTTCATGTAATAATTAGATGTTTTAACAGATAAATATCCATGTTTTCTGGTGAACATGTGCAACATAAAAAAGTTGATTTTCATATTTGAGGTTAATTTTGAAATAGATATTTAAACAGAGGGATATATTAAGTTATTTTATTTATATTTTAGAAGATTTATATGAACCAGAGAGGAAGATAGAAGAGATAGCTAAGTCAGTCTTGGAGCCAGTGCCTGTGAAGGATTCTACTGTGGAGAAAAATGGTGAGCGAAGACATTGGAACAATTTAATCAATATTCTCGGCATATTGCTTTTCTGTGTTTCACACTTTATCATATCAACCTCTGGCATGAATCTGTGGGTAGCCATGTGATTTTATATATTGTTTTTGTTAGTGCATTCGATAAATGGATTTGTAAAGTGTGAGCTCTCCTTAATAGTATCAAACACTCATGTTGAGGTTGAATCACAAAAACATGTGCATGCTTGCATGCACGCACGCATGCACGCACGCACGCACACTTGTGCTGGTTATCATTGTATGAATAAAGAGTAATATGATGATAAGTGCAGTATGTAGATGTATTGTAATGTTTGGGATGTAGTTCTATCAGGACTCATTTAACAGTAAAACTATTTATAATCCTAAGACATCCAGTTGATTCACAGGGGATTATAATTTCTTACTGAAGCATACTGATATCTATGCATATGTTCCATCTGAATGCACAATTTGCCAGTCGCATCTTTCTGGTAATTTTGAACAGTTTTGTAATTCTTAAATTAATTGCCCCTGTTGGTGGTTTTTTCATGAATTTGTTTGATGTCTAGTGTACTTTTTTCAGAAAAAATTTTGAAAAAAAAAGTAAATTATTGCTAAGTCTATATTGTTATCTGAAAATTATTTCAATTTTGAGAATAATGATATTAATTAGTATACAGTATTGGAGGTGACGGAAAGCACAGATGACTATTTATTTAGCACAGAATGTCACATCTTTACATAGAAAATAATTTTTTCTCTTTCTAAATAAGAAAGTAATAAACCAAGGTACTATTTGTACTTTAGTAAAAGTTGACCAGAAGAAGTTACCAGAAGGTCATGAACCATCAGGAGAGAAGCAGCCAGCAGCCAATACAACGACCCCCAAGACTGGCCCTGCCCCCCATCCGTCCTCCCCAGCACATCACAAACAGGGCCCACCTGGAGAGGCCAACGCACCCGGCTATGGACAGGGATTTATCTTCATCAGTAAGGAGAGAGAGAGAGAGAGAGAGAGAGAGAGAGAGAGAGAGAGAGAATACTAGTAAATGTGTGTGTGTGTGTGTGTGTGTGTGTGTGTGTGAGAGAGAGAGAGAGAGAGAGAGAGAGAAT